CTCCACCGTTACGTTTTCTTTCTTTTCTTCTCTCCTCCTCTCTCTCTCTCTCTCCCTCTCTCTCTTTTACTTTCCCCTGTCAATGCTTAGTTCATGCAGTTTAATAATCGATTTGATACGAAATTTAGAAATTTTTACATTTTTTTAAACAATTTTGAAAGTTTTTATCATATAATTGGCATTGAGGAAATTTTCAAATTCAATGAAATGAGGTGATTGTTGAAGTTATTTCGGATAAAAGTTAAACTTTCAATTTGAAATTCCTTTTTTTGAAAATAATTTGCTATTTTTCCGACATTTAATTACAGTTTATTCAAATTGAAGACACCAAAAGTTCCATATGTTAAGAAGCCTATCGCACAAGAAACCCATCATTTTTAGTCTCATAGAATCTCAAATTCCAAAATTAGGTTTTAATGCTGAAATTTTTGTTTGGATAAAATCAGATGCTTCCGCACATCTATCGACTACATTCGAAACCTTCAACACATTTATTAGTGCCTGAAATTTCATTCCTTCCATTTTCATCTGTTCATCCATCATTTTTCCTAAAAATTTCAATTGTAACTTGAAATTTATTCGAATACAATGATTGTTACCCTTATCACTATCCTTATCATAATCATTCGTCATCTAATCACTGTCGTTGATTAATAATTAATTGATGGATATGAAATAGCTGAATATAATAATAAGAAATCATCTTTGGTCCTTCATTAAGTATCACAAATTATTCAGCAAATTAATATTTTGGGGAAAGTTTTAAAACGAATAAGGGAAATTTTTGATGTTTAAAATGTGAGGAATTTTTTGAGACGGAATAAACACCAATGCTAAAAAAATGAAAAAAAAAGAACTGTTGTATGTGATTTATTTGAAAAAAAAAAGAAGTTCAAAAAATAGCGCCAATCCCAAAAGACAATTGTTCATCAGTAAGCTGGATTAACTGCTTTACAGATGGATGCCCTTGCTATGGGAAACATTCTTATGAGCTTATCTTCCTTTCCTACTATCAAATGTTAACATCTTATCAGCAAATAAATTCTAAAAACCCCAACTTTGATAAAAACACTCGGAGGATTATTAGTACTAGTTCCTCAATTATATGAACAAATTATTATCATCATTATCAGTTATCAAATAACGAGAATAATTTACTCCAATCACTGTGTAATGTTTTAGAAGAACGACTAATATTTTTGTTCAGTGAGCAATAAAAAAGCAATGAAAAATGATATGATAGTATTGCTAGTAGTGGTAATTAAATTAACATTCTTCTACGTTATCATTTTGCTTCGGAAATACTTTTTCGCCATAAAATGAAATTAAATGGGAAAATTTTAAATTTCAATTAATTTGGACCATCTCTAAATAAATTCTTTCTTCATGGATGCTAATTGCTTGTTGGAAAATGCTTGTAAAATCAAATAAAAACCATGAAAAGTTTATTTATTTCATATTTTTATGTGAGAGAATTAAACTAACTTTCCATATCGTACCAAAATCTAACTTAATCCAAGACTCGATCAAAATCTCTCCCATACTCTCTTATACATACCATACCATACCCTTTAACTACATGTAATTACTATTAAAATTCACTAATCATATAAATATTCCCATGTATTTGCTGTAATTTATCATTAGAGAAAGTCGTTAATTCCAAAGTTTGTATCAACAGAGCAAAGGGCTACTAGCAGAGGCGACTATAAATTTTATGAAATTTCTTACATTCAGCAGAAACCCGTGAGAACTTCTACTCAGACAAGTTTCGTTCCCAACTTGTGACATTTGTTACCACTTTAATTTACTGCTTACAACTGTTTTATTCGTTTATTAGTTTTCGATTAAATTTTTAGACTGTACAATATTTCGTATGTGTGTGTATGTGTGTGTGTGTGTGTGTGTGTGTGTGTGTGTGCGTGCGTGTGTGTGTTATGATTGTCATATCTGTTTGACAATTATTCTACAATCTAAATCCAACTGGATTATCCCTGGTTCATTAAAAAGCATTTTTAATGCAAACAGATTATCCTAAATGTATTAACATTCAGTATAGATATGATTAACTTCTATGACCTCTTAATTAGGACTTAACCTTCTATTATTCAGCTAAGTTTTTTTTTTTTTTGTCACAGAATTACAAAATAACAATCGAAGCCAATTATCTTTGCTTCTTATTGTTGATGAAAAATGATAGGATGATTGAAAGATATGTTATTTTTTTGTTCATTTTATCTCTTAGATTATTATTATCTCATCCCTTCATATCTTCACTTCCTTTCCATTAATGCAAATGAATCTATTTGCATCAAAGGATGAACCAACAACAAGGATGATATGATAATGCAAGGACAGGATCACCATACTATCCAATTTCCTTCGATGATGGTATACTGTAGGAAGAGGCAGGTGTATGTATATATATGTGTGTGCATGTATGTGTGTGTGTGTGTGTCTGTATGTGTGTGTATGTGTGTGTGTGTGTGTGTGTTGTGCCGTACTGCGTGCGCATCATCCTTATGGAACTCATTTGGTGTGAGGATTGGGTAGGGTAGTTTAGTATGTGATATAGGATGGGTGTGTTGGTTTGATGCTGTGCTGTTTGTGAATGTGTAATATTGATCGATAATTAATTGCAGAATTTTGTGAAATTTGTTGAAAAAAAAAGAAAAAGAGGGACATTTGAGTAGAAAAAGGGGAAATGAAGAGGTGAAGCTAACAATTTTCAATTCTTTTTATTGTATGATAAATTGTAAGACAAATTTTGATAAGTTCAAATTTTTAATTTTATTAAAATTTTTGTTAAATGAAATTATTGAAAAGAATCGATACAATGATTGAATGTATTTTCAACATTCAATGAAAGATTTTGGAAATTCTCGAGATATTTTTATTTCATAAAAGGTTAATACTCACACTATTATGCATTTGATGTTAAGTTATGTCATTTACAAGAAATACAGTTATCACATGAACTTCATATTTGTTTTTAAGCATAAAATTTACATATGAATTTAAAATAAATGCACAAATTTGAAATTGAACAATTCTTCGTTAAAATATAAAGTATACGCATGGATAAACTTATCAGCTATATCAACATTCTAATCATCTCACCATAAATACTTTTAATTATACTTCATTTAAGCATCAATGATAAATAAGTAAGATGGAGTGATAATGATACTGTAAGCATTATCCTTTTTTTTTTCTCTGACAATATCTAATGTTGAAGTATGTTTCCATATCATTCTTATATAATTATCATTATGGTAATAAGGATTATGCTATTGGGAGATTTGCAATTGATATTGGTAATTGGGAAAGCTCAACAGATGAAAATTATCGATTTCCACTTTCGATATTATTGTTACTGTTGCTGTTAATGATATTGACTGATTTGGGTGAGGAAAGTTATGATAAGATTTCTTTCTTATCTTCCGAAATACATGTGTGTGTGTGTGTGTGTGTGTGTATGTATGTCTGTCTTTCTGTCTGTGTCTATGTATATATATAATATGCGTACACATTTAACACGTAAATAAAACGTAAGTTCTTTCAGAGGTACTGTTACTGTTGTTGTTATCCTTCCATCAACTTCATCTTTCGGTTCGCTTTCATGCTTAGCAGTACTTTGTTACTTGGGAACATCATATTTCATTTTAGGATTCTTTGAAGTTTTACCGCTCTTTCATTATTTTCCATCTATAACCCTCGAGCAATGCTCGTTTTAGTCAACCAACCAAGCAAACTATCCCTAAATATGACAATATTTTCTATGACACGAATTAAACAAAGGCAGTACACCACCTCCTTTTCTTTTTTTTTCTTTCAATTTGTTGACACTTCCTCCATATGTCTTCTCTTTTTCCCAACTTGAAAAAAAAAAGAAAATTTCAAAACAAAAGGAAAACTTATGGTATCAAAAATATTCTTTTACCCATTACGGTAAACTGCGAAAAAATTGTTGAAAGATTGGGCAAAAGAGTGAGTACAAAGATCAAAGTCTACGGATGCTCACTTATTTTTCACCAAGATTGATTATGAATATAATTTTGAATTAAAAGTTCAGATATGCTGTGAGGTTAAAGGTCAAAGCATTAGTATTAAGAAATTGCTTGTCTCAGTATTAGCTATTAATTTAGTTAACTTGTTGGTAAAAACTTTTGGAAGCTAGAAATGCTTTCTGTAAGCAATGCTTTGTATACTTTGCCATCTATCTGAATGATTTTCTCTTCACTGGAATCCAAATATTTTTATTTATTTGAAATTTCGACTACAGGTAAAATTTAACTTTAATGTCAATTATATTTTGATTGAATTTCCCAAAAGTTTGCGAATTTTAAAATTCTGTTCATTTATGTGAAACAAAAAGGAAATTGGAAAACGATTAAAAGAAGGTCCAAAAAAAAAGTTCGTTTTTTTTTCTGCAAAAGCAGCATCTTCATTCCATTTCTCAGTGGTTTATCATTCCTCCAGTATAAATCAACACATATTTTGAAAATTGCTTTGACAGTTTCACCGCTCCACTTCAAAGGCAGAAGCCGCTCGTTCCTTCCTTCACGAAGTGAGCTGATGATAGTGGTTTTAAGAAGCACAAGTTTTCAAAATTTCTTTATGAAAGGCACAAAAAAAAGTCTTTATACATACAGTACGCCTTTGTACATTGGTTACGGTTAATTTATTCTTCACATGCACAACATCTTTGTGTATATATGTACAGTACACTATGGTACGCTGGTTACGGTCAGTTTACAAATACTGCAGTGATATTATATCAACGGTGATGTTATATCAGAAAATCTATAAGTTGTGATGGAACTATGAAAATGTCAGATCGTAAGATTAAAACAGAAAAGAATCTGTATTAAAGAAAATTTACTAATATTAAATAGATTGTTGAAGTTAAAAATGCTAGTTAAAATCATAGATCCGTGTTTTTTTTTTCTGTTGACCTTTCATTTTTTTTTCATAGCCTATTAATTAAGTGCTTGCATTGGATTATTATATATATATACAATGACCTCATGAAGTCCCATTATTAATTATTTAATTATGCTAATAGCTAAAAAAAAAGTATTGTATGAAATAATTTACAATAATCAATTCTAAAGATGATCATTAATCTTTGCTCACGTATTTCAGGTGGCAAAGGCGGTGAATCAAAAAGGACGCGACAAACATATAGTAGAAATCAAACGTTAGAACTTGAAAAGGAATTTCATTATAATAAATATTTAACGCGAAAAAGGCGACAAGAAATTTCCGAAAGTTTGCAATTATCCGAGCGGCAGGTTTGTTTTCATTTTTAAATGTTAGAATTAAGCTTTGAAATAATTAAATTATCACCGAAAATAGTTCAGCAAAAATGATTTCTTTTTGTTGTGTTAGAAATTATTACATGGTTTGAATTAAAAAACGATGATTATGGAAGTACTTAACATAACCTGACATTAAGACTGAATTAGTGATAAGAGGTGAACAGTGACTTGTAGAATTGTGTGAAGCAATTTCTTTTTTCTTTTTTTTTTATTTTTTCGTTTTATTTTTTTTCTTTTTTTTTGTTTTTTGCCAAAAATAGGACCATCCGTTGTTTCAAATGTGATTTATGTTTCGTTCTACGGTAAAGAAAAAAAAACACTTCGCATCAAACACTAACATCATTCTGGTTGGATACAAGAGAAATTTAATGGATTCTAAGAAGGCAATACAACTTCGACATCATTTTAAGATACCTTAAAGTATCAGAAATGTGATTCATCGTAGACTTGTAGTTGAATTACAACTGCTAATTAGTACACAAAACTTTGATGGATGATTATGTTAGTGGTAGTGGATGTGCAAGTCTGGAGTAATTCCTGCATCGATGGATATTTGTGATTGAGTAAACTAATCATGATATATTTCTTTGAAATTTTTAAAGTAAATTTTGTTTCCTGCAGTATTTTAATCATGTGACTTCCAAAGCATCACTTTTGTTCTCTTTCTTAGCTTCTCTCCTCTGAAATTGTAATCCTCTTCAATCTGGATAATTAGTTTCTATGATCCATAATTGAAATGCTAAGAGAAATTTGGCATAGAGGGTCTGAGTTAAGTTTTTTTTTGAATTTCAAAAATTAAAAGTAAACTGAGGAATAGGATACTATCAGATGAGAGAGAGTACCGGTTAGATAACGTATACAGTTTAATTGTCTTTAATTGTCAAGGTTAATGACTGCAGGGTATGTGTCACCATTTATGATCCATTGTATTCGTACTTCACGTCATATCTTTATCTATAATTGCATTCAAAATTTTATCGAATATTAGCTTCAACAGAATACTGTCAAAGAATTAAAAATGAATGAATTTGCTGTCATACATTTCGATTTGTTACGATAACTTTTCAAAATGATGCAATTTCAAGATGAAATGTAAAAGGAAATTTTCATCAATTTTTGATAAAGTATTGTCGAAAAATACTTTCAAAAGTCGGGAATTTCATCGTTTATTTTTTTTTTTGCAATCTCTCCTCAATTGTTTTGCATTTTTAAAATTAGTTTTAAAAGAAAGGAAAAAAAAGAAGTAATAGTTTACCGATGATTTGAAGTTATAGTACCATAGAAGCAAAGTTCCATAACAAAATGAATTTAGGTTTTTTTTTCTTTTTTTTTGTTTCATTTAGTCATCTGGTGGAATTTCATTTCCATTGTAGTGAAGATGCATTGGCTTGTATCAGCCGGCATGGGGTTTTCCTAATTTATTGCATCACCTGGGTGGTCCCATTAGAGGAAGAAAAGGAATTGTCCCGAAGACAAAATGAACATTCTTTTCATTTATACTAAACATGAGCCTCTGTTTTTTTTCCTCCCATTTTTTTTTCTTTTCAACCGTTCCGTTTTTCCCCCTGAATAAACTTTCCTTTGTTCTTTGCCGACTTGATTTCCCTTTTCTTTTTTTTTAGTATCACTCATAAAAATCTTTTGTCTTGAAGACAAAAAAAAACGAAAAAACTTTTGATTTGATTTTATGAATAAATTGTTGAATGTTTGTTTGTTTGGATAATAATTACTGGCAAAATAAATGGTTATTTTATTTGGGTTAGCTTGAATTTTTTTTTTAAATTTAAAGTTTGACATTTGAAAATGCTTTCAAAAATTGAACATTGCAAAATAATGCGAACAGACAAAAACGGTATAAGAAAGTTGAAAAACGAAATTAAATTTCGCATTAATTAATTAATTTTAGGTAAAATATGGTTCCAGAATAGGCGAATGAAGCACAAAAAGGAATGTAAAGGTGAAGTAACAACAGTGAATGAAAGTGATGAAAGTGCCGATGAACAGATACCAACATGACAAGGATTAGTGAACGAAGGACTTTTTGCTACCTAAGATACCAGAAATTTTAGCCTTATTACTGGTACCAGCAGTATACATCGAATAGAAGAAAATGTTGTTAGCTCAAATTCATGGAACCCGTTAATTAATCTCAACTGTAACGGGATATGCAGCAGTCTTCCACCGGTCAATTCGATATGTTGTGTAACTTTTGATACTGTCCTTGGCGATATTAACGAGTGCACCAACAAAGAGATCTCAACAAAAATTTTCGTATAATAATTTTTTTTTTTTTTCATGTGCTCATTAACTTATTATTACACGACCCTATCAGTTTTTGAATGGACTTCGAGAATCTTGAACAATTTCTAAAAAAGTGAATTTTACGAGTTAAACTTTTCAAATTTCGTCATCTTATTTGGAAAGCTCTTTCTAAACAAACAGAAGTATTTGAAAAGCACAGATGAAATATGTTAGAGAAGCATACCAGAATTGGGTCCACTGGTGCTGATATTTGGCTTTGGCTTGTAATTGTGTAATTATTAATTTCGACTTTCTTCGATATCTTCCATTCATGACAGTTTTATCATTAAGGAAATTTTTTGTTTTAATTATTCAAAAGCAGAAACTTTTCATTTTCCTTTATTCTTAGATTTCAATCTCTGCACACTAATGATAGTATATTTAGAAGTAAATTTTGAACAAATAAGGTAATAAAGTTGGGTTGGAAATTTTCCAGTAAAACTATTATTGGTATTTGCACAAAAGAAAATGATTATGTTGTGTTCCCGAGAAATTGAAAATTAGTACTGTGAGCTCGACCAGGGCAATTCGTTCCCGAGAAATCTTTGCAAGTGGAACGAGTACCTCGGTCATTTCATGATTTCGGGTTGTTTAACCAGTCATTGTAGCTATCCCATAGAAGGCTCATGTTTCGCGTATTATTTTATTTATAAATAAAGTAATGAGATTTAATGATGAATAGACAAATAGCAGAGAAATGGACTAAATTAAAATGCAAAAAGAGCAGATATTAATGATTTTAAATTAGTGATTTTTAATTAATCAATTTTGATCAGGTTGTCTTGATAGCTTGTGGCGCTTGTAATATAATTGTTAATTAAGTTGTCTTTTGAAGAACGACCTGAAGTTCCGATGATAGTGTGGAAAAGTTCGATAACAAATAACCTGAAAAGGAATCAAAGTACAAAAGTAGTTTTTTAAGCAAACAAAAGAAAATTATCTTTCTACTTCTAGTAAATAGGTTTAGTTGATTTTTTTTTTTAAACAAGTTTTAGGAACACTTGGTAGTTGTATTATTATTACTCTTATTATCATTATTATTGTTATTACTATTGTCATTACTAATGCGTGATACATGGTATATATCGTAAACATGACATTTGATATTGCGGGCTTTTTCCATTTCATTCTTCTTTTTTTTTGTATTTTCATTTACATGTATGTTTGTATGTTTTCTCGTTTCCTTTGTTTTGTTTATTTGCGCTTTTTTCCCCCCATTTAATTCATCATTTTTGTTGTATATTGTGAAATAAAAATGTTTCAATAAAGGTTTATGAAAGCATTTAAATGTCCAGGAAAGATTTAAATTCTAAAGCCTAAATATTCCCCAAATTGTCTTTGAAGTATTCAATGATAATAAAATGTGCAAATTGATTAAATATAATTAATATGTTTCTATAGAGTGATAAGATTAAAAATTAGATTGGTATCTTAGTTTTTTAAATTAAAATCTTGAAATGATCAATTCACTATTGCCAAAGTATTTTTATGTCTATGAATGGGAAAGCCTAATGACTAGCTGTCTGAGAACAACAAGCTAAAAGAATTTAAAGGATTGTTCAAAATGATCTGGAAATTTTTCAAATCACTTATAATACCAAGTTATATTGGCTAAAAATTGTATGGGTGGGAGCTGAGCATTTTTGTATAATCTACTCAAAGAAAGGTTATAAAATTTAATGCAAATTGATAAATTGGAATAATCAATTATTGAAAATTTGAAATGAAAAAAGCTTTATTGAACCTTTTTTTTCTTCAATCTTTTTCACTAATACTACATTGGTCCAGTTCATTAGTTGAATGTTTTGCTTTCTTGGAAGTGATTTTAGCAAAATTCTTAGCACCTTCTTTACCACCACTTTTCTTTTTTCCTGCAACAAAATGATTGATGGTTAATTGAAATAAATTTAATTTGAAATTTAAATCTAACCATCTTTGCTTTTCGATTTTCTTTTCCTTCCTCCTTCTCTTCTCGATTTGTCTTTGTCTATCGTATCAATTTTATTCATTTCTTCTTTCTGAAATAAGAAATTTTAAAATGATTAAAATTTTGATTTAAGACGATTAAATTGGAATTTTAATCAACTCAAGTTTTCACTGTTTTTTGATTTACTTTGAAAAAAATATACTGCTGAAATTCAGAAAGAAAAAAAAGAGAAAAGAGAACATTTTCATCATAATCGGGTGGTTTATCGCCTTCAAATGCTGGAAAATCATAAGGGCATGGTCGATTTTTGAAATCGATATGATACTCATTTTTCCAATCAATATGGAAATTTCTCATATCTTTCGGAGGTTGTCCATATACCATTCTAAAAACTAAGAGAGATTGTCTTAAATTATAATTGACGGATTTTTCAGTATCTTTTCTCACATAACGAAACAAAACATTTCTTCTTTTTTTTTTTTTGTTGAAAAATTAACTTGAAAAATGAAGGTTGAAATTCAAATGATTTGAAATAATCGTATAATAAAAGCTCGGTTTTTTTTTTAACGAATGACAAGAAAACCACTTATTACCGATCGATCGATCGATAGTCTAAGATGAATTATGTGGGAAACTCTTTGGTGACTTGCATTACAAGCCATTTTTGATGTCATGTAGAACGTATGGTTAATTATTGCCAAATGCTTTGCATATAATATCGGAAAATCTCAGTAATCTTCATGATAACATTTAGTTTCATATCTTCCAGATTTTTGAAAAGATATTTATATCACTTAATCGGTTTAATTTCGAATAATATGACTGAGCATTTTCAGAAGTGTTAGGAATAATTGATTATTTGCTAAGGAAGCTTAATTAATTAGATGAATTCAAAATAGGAGTTATTAGATGAAATTCAATTTGTTTTTACTTCGTTTTCTTGAATATATGCTCCACAGCGGTATCACCCTTCTGATCATTTTCAGTATCTAGTTGTTTGTATTCATCATCCGGTTGTTCTTGATAATCAAGATATGGAAAGAAATGGTCTTCCAACCCTTTCTCCTCATCATGGAATACATTCGATGAACAACAACCCATCTTCGGCAAGTAACGTAGATCAGCTTCGTCAAATTCGTAGAATTACAAATAAGAGCTACAAAATTCTAATTTAGTTAGATTGCCACTTTCCTCTTCTGCGGGAGCTTAAATATTATGAAAGGAAAGGATCTCGGGAGACAAGTCCACAAACTTTAGCGGCATTAAATTTAAATGCTCCAACCATGTGAAGTTGTTTCCCAAGTTTCATTCACTCCCTCCAATAGGATCATTTGTAAAGTCGAGCGGAATTTCAACAAGTTGAAATTCGAGCTGGCGGAATCAGATGAAGTTATTTAAAAGATCTATCTCGTGGTCGATACTCAATGGATAAAGTTTAGCAAACTTATTCTACATCCTTTCAGTTTTCAAAAACTCTACCCTCAAAAGATATTTAGTAACGTAATAAAACAGAAGCACAGTTTTGACAACCACCTTACGGTTACACCTCCATATCAAAAATGAACTTGAGCAGAATGTTCATGCATTTTATGTATGTGTATGAAATCATTACCGACGAATTAAGGACTTTTTCATAAAAGGCAATCAACGACCTAGGATGCTTAAAAATTTCAGGACCAAGGACCATCTGAAGAGGCAAACTCGTTAAACTGAATATTGAAAAACCATTAGAAATATAAGTTCCATGCTATTACCAATAACTAATTTACTGACATACTTGAGTAAGAAAATTAAAATTTTGCAGAACATAAGCAACTGTTCGCACATTTACTGACCGGAAGAATAATCGTTGTAGGAACTATCAGAAGCACGCAAGGGAAAGATAATTACAGTGGAAGAAATGAATTCATCACGAATTTTTTGAAAAAAAATTCGACAATTTAGGACCCAAATTTGTTTTTTCTGCAAATCTATAGTCGTGAAGAAAAAAAAGTAAAATATCGAATCGAAAGAATGCAAAATGAGACTACGGAACAAATCAAGAGTCTATATATTATTGGTCTAAGTTATCGGGCTCGGATTTAAAATCACTTTTTCATAAAAGGCAATGTAAAGCTCTAAAAGAATATTTGAATACACACAATTTTTGCTAGAAAACAGAAGTTTCGTAACTCTTATTATAGAGTAAAACATTTTGTTGTGTTTTCTTTCATGATTTTCCAATTTGGACTATGTTCCTCCGAAGAAAGCCAACTGAAATCCTGTACGTTACACCACTTGTTATTTTGTACATCTTGTTGAAAGCCAATGACGTTATATGGTGCAACTTCTATTCCATCACAGTCTTCAATTATCAAAGCCCCGCGTACCTGAATTATTTCGTTAAAAATATTACTTTTACAATTCCACAATTCCCGGAATTTTTACATTCCCCTCATATTAGTGTTATTCTATAAACCCTCCTTCTCCTTTAGCCATTTCTAATGAAATGCAATCTACATGTAATATTTATCAATTAGGACAGGAAAGTAACATGACAAAATATTGAAGGAACGAAACACGGATTTTTGCAAAAGAAAATAGTGACAAAATAAGATCAAAATTTCGGAAATTCGAAACAAACCTCAATGTAGAGCCGGATCTGATGGCTATCATGGATTCTTACTTGTTGCGCAGCGACTGCAACTGTCAAATTCTCACAGTCCCGTATAAGAAGAGAAGTTTTAATTGGTGCGAAAATTAGGGTGCTGTGCTTCACGGATTTCATATGTACAGCCGATGCTTTGAACGGAACACGGATCACAGAACTAGTGACATTGTCGATCATAACTTCTTCATCATCATCACCTTCCACTACTAATTCCTTTCCATGCTACAATGCGATTTTTTTCTGACTTCTTAAAGCATCTTATCAGAAACCAAATATTAGAATCACAATTGATGGTAGTATTTGAATAAAAATATTCCACACTAACAAAAAAAAATACCTCGGCAGTTACTGTAATCGACTTTCGCATTAGTGATTGAGCTATTGCCTGAGTAGGACCAAGCGGACTACATTTGACAATTGCTGCTTTTTGTACTTTTGATTCGGCAGCATTTTCTTTTCTGGTGCTAAATGAAAATACTGATTGCTGATGCCCCAATCCAATTTGCTCTTGCATTCGACTGCGTAGCATATTCAAGGCTTGTTTTAGACGAAGTGACTGACGGCCAGGTGGAATTAGCGTAAGGGCGGTTTCCAATTCATGCAAAAGTTCAGGCTCAGTATTTAGTTCTGAAGAATTCACTACACGTGTAGCTTTTGCTAGCAATTTATCAAAATCTGCTGTATCAGCAGATAATTTTTTCATCGCAACTGTATCCCGTGTATGACGTGCTTCCAACCGTGCCAACATACGCTGACGTCTTTCGCTGACCAAATCAGTAGATTCCAGATTACCAATGCTTATTTCTGACTCCATTATAGCAAATATTTTCCGGGTACAACTAGCGAACAATAAAGTGCGAGATAAATGATACAACTTTGTGAGTATAGATAATCGACTCTAATCGAATTTTCTGTGATGTGCACGTCGAGGAATCCAAGGTAAAAGCACCTCCGAGAATTTACGTCCGTCTACTGAAAAAATTTACGGGTCATTTATATACCAGAAAAACAAAACCCTATTATTTGCTCAACCTTAGAACTGTAGACTAGTTATTCTAACTCGAATGCTTTTTTAATTGGAATTTCTATAAGAGAGCTTACAATTTGTCAAGTGCTGGAAATCTTCTGGATGAAGCGAGATGTAGTGTTCAATGACGGCGTCACGGGTTTTGTAATGATATTCACGAAGAGAACCGATAACGTATCCAACACCCCCCACAAATGTTAAGAGAACGAAGCGAGGAACGAGACCTGAAACGAAGTGTAAAATTGCATATACATCTTGCAACTCACATTACAACTATCAATTCCATTTAATAATTTGCTGAAATAAGAAGTGCTTTAATCGCTACTGGAACCCTTACTGAACGACTAATGGTCGAACACATCTCCTCCTCTGGAAAATCTATCATAAGCAGATTCACAGTTATTTACGCTACTTAAAACAAATGACACAACTGACTGTAAAAGAACGGTTTCCTTGACCAGTCCGTATAATATTTCCAAGATAATAGACCAGTACCAAAAGCAAAAAAAGTCACGGCCCAACGACGTGGCCAAGTTGTCGGATCAGCTAGTTTGAATGGTCGAGAATTATCGCGTAAATATGTTTCACGTCGTTGCAACTCTTTCTGATCCACCGTACTGCTTTTTAACATTCCCTTAATTTTATTTTTTTACTCCTCACTCCAAATGAAATGTTATACATTACAGCATTTTCAACGCAAAGTATATCAACGTTTTCAGCGTAGCTTACAAAACTGAGAGAAATATACAAAAAATCATTTGCAAAAAGACTACTTAGATATGAAGAAATAACATATTTAGATAAGGGAAAACTAATGACGATGAACAATATATACTATGAATAAGACGATTACAAGCAAAGCCTAAAGACTTTAACGCTGGAAAAATAAAACATAGCAAGAGCACAGTTATAGAAAACTTTATTTAATACAGCCTAAATTATCGTGTAGCGAAGGAGAGATTCATCCTTAGAGTACCTAAATGTTAACGATCAAAATGTGCCGGGTATATGCCTTCTTCTCTCCATTCATCAAATTTTTCTACCCACGATGACGGACAAAGATCCATAAAAGTGTTATAAAAGAATTTGCATGGTTTGTAATTTTCACCCAACAAATTGGTGCATCGATAATAATCCTGGTAATAATCGACGCAATGGCGTCCCATTTTTATTTGCTGATAGCGAGCATCTTTTGGAGCTGTCCACAGCGGTCCATCAGACGAGGTCTGTTGTTTCCGATTGTATTTTCGGTCGAACCATCGCGCGTCATCCGGTGAACGGTTTAGATAATCATTTGCATCCAATTTTGCCAACCGTTCACTCAGCGTCAACGGCAGTTCACCGAATTTACTTGATTCTCGCTCCGGTTTTTCTCCCTGTTTCTTCTTCTGCTCTACCAGCTTTTCATTTTCCGTTCCCTTTGACATCTAAATCTACAATAATTTTAATCGTCGCTCCATCAATTCAAACCCCGTACATAGAACGCGCAGACGAACCCCCCCCCCCCGCACCTCATGAATAACGGAATTTGCCGATCAATAGCGAGCAGTCTCAACATATCCGTACAGAAAGAAGTCAATCGTTTCGAGACGAAATTCTTTCGCTGCAGCCTCCAGGACTATGCAGGTGTAATCCTTGGGCATCGTGACTATGAGAGTGTATGAGAAGGAAATGAGAATGGATCAGAGATTGCAAGAAGAACGAAATAGCCTGGAATGAGAGACCGTAGACAGAGAGCGATTGCGAGTTATAGTGAAATTAGTGAAGTGAGGATGGTAAAGGAATCTCACTATAGCGGGCTATAAGGGATTTGAGACGGCAGTGGTAACATGACACAAATCTTGGATAATCAGAGACTGGAATTGTTTTTAGTCAAAGTGGGGAAGTTGGGTAAGACAATAAAAGATTGAGAAAGGATATTAGGTCGGATGTGTTTAAAAGAGAGAGAGAGAGAAAGAGGAAGAGGAAAGTTATACCATTGGTCCATATTCTGGATGGAATTAGATTTCGTAGGAGAAATTCAGGAATCCAGTGAGAGGGATTCAGGAAAGGAATTATATTCTGTGGGGGGGGGGGGGGAGATGTGTGTTATCTGATAATTTGCATATATATTGTAGATTTTGCATGAGTTATGTCGTCATTGAAACGATCATCGAAAGTCGGTCAACGGATTCATCGTGAACGTCCTCAGGTCTGTCACACTGTTGGAGTCATACTTATCAGGTTATGTATTCAGAAATTTCTTGGAAAACATGAGATTATAACTGCAAATGAATGGGAATTCAAAGATTCCGCAGGAGGAACGTGTGTGCGTGTGTGTGTTCAATAATTTGCATGCGTAATGTTTATGCTTGTAAGCGCATGAAGTTTTCCTGATTCTACATTGATAATAATAACAACGAAATTTGGATTTAGTAGTCTTAAAACTAATTTCAAACACTGTTGGGTTTTATTCCATAATTCCGTTCGGACAACATGTAAAGAAGAAAAATTTGCAGCCAGAATCGCGAGCACAGTTTGGTCTATTGGAAAAGAAGAAGGATTATGTTCAGCGTGCTCGAGATTATAATTGCAAGAAAAGGAAACTGCAAAAGCTGCGACAAAAGGCATTGAATCGAAATCCGGATGAATTCCATTTCCATATGGTTCGAAGCCATGTTGAGGTAATCTTTCCTTTTCTTTTGTCATCCGTTATACGATTTAGTTGGTTGTACTGCATAAAGTAGTTTTCTTTTGATATTTCTTTCAAAAACTATAACGAAATTTTTTTTCGTCAAATATTTATGTTGAATTTTCCAGGAGGATGGAGTACATCATGAGAATACCCCAGAACCTGATGAGGATACATTGGTTCAGAAGAAGTTAAAGAATTTAGAAGACCTGAAATATGTGAAGCATCGGCTGACTGTTGAAAATCAAGTAATTTTAGTCATTTCATGGTTCTACATTTGAGTTAGTAATGCGAAACGTTTCCGAACGGTGCTTCCGAATCGGTGCTTTCAAAAAGAATTCAAACTAAGATTATAATTAGCAGATAAAAATTAGAAAGCATAATGTGTATAAAACATTGTTTTGACACGTACTTGTCCTAGTTGTTGTTTATGTTCTTTTTTTAGAAGATCGCAAAGTTGAGAGCAACCTTACATTTTGCGGATACTACAGTCACGAAAAATACACATACCATTTTCGTGGACACGGAAGAAGAAGGTTCCTCTACTTTATTACTCTCCTGAAGTTTTAAAAAATGATCTACAGCTTTGATTGAATGGAAACAGTTGACAAGCAATAAATGTGTGGTGAGACTGTTCCCGAGGAGCCCCACTCTTTTACTTATTTTTCTCGTGGAAGACTGTTCAGATAACTAATATTCCGGATATGAGCGAGTTAAAGTATTGCTTTATAAACTAACATCATAGACTGTTTTTGAGACTCATAGTCTTTATTTGTTGAGCAATGGCGCTGATATGAGGAATATTTTCAGTAAGCTTCTAGCCTGAGCCTCCAAATCCAGTTGAACTCTTTCACTATACCTTTCAAGGAGTAGATGTCGTTTTTGATGGTCTCGAGTTTTAGTTATGAAAGTTGTCTATTTTGCTAGTGACTCACGAGTTCATTTACCAGTGAATAAGGACTTTTCATGATAAATATTTCAAATCATTCAATCTAAATAATATCTTTTAGCAAAAAGTTTTAACCCCGTAAAATATTTCAATACGCCGAAAGAAGTATTGGATCGAAGATATAATCGACCGCGTATTTCTACTCTCCAGGGCAGCACCATCATAAACGCTAAAAGAAGAGATGATGTAAAGGTATACTCATAAAAGCAGCTTTTTTTATTGTAATTATCAGCTGTATAAATTGTGGAAATAATCATTCTTGATCGTTTGGTTTATTGAAGAATATCGAATTCATTCCATTTATTCACTCGTCTTTTTTGATTTGAAATATATATATTTATTGTACTTAACTTTCTTATTTTACATGTGTCCTTACAGCAATATTTTATGTCCGATCCAATTTTGTTCCTTATCAAATGCATAACGCTCCAGATTTTGTCTTTCGCTAACTTGATCGCTATTTCTAAATCTTAAATTTAAAATTAACTTAGCAGCTTAAACCATATAACTCATATAAATATTTAATCCATCCCCAGAACCATGGATCAATTTTTTTAGCAAGCAGATCACGAGCGGCGGAAGATGTATAGTGAACTATTGAAGAGGATGCAGCGTGCCAAAGAATTGAAAGTCGTTGTTGAAAAATTGGAAGTTAGAAGAAATATAGCAGAGAGTAAGGGAAAAGAACTGCGGCCCAAGAAGGTTACATTGCATATATCTCGATGTGCAGAATTTTCTTTTGTTGTTCCGTTTTATCCATATTTCTTCTCTCTAAATTAGTTCTATCTCAGCTGCTCATAAGCTTCTTTTTTATTTAACTTCATTTTACTAGTCAGTAGTTATCTTT